AGCTCTAGCCGTGGCCTCCTCTCCAGCTCCAGCCGTGGTCTCCTCTCCAGAAGTTCCAGTGGCATTTTCTTTACTCAGTCCAGACACAGATATTTATATCTCGGATGAAGATGAGTATGAGTAAGTGATTTGATATTGTTGTTAGACATGTATTTATAGTTGAATCAAAAGACGAAGTAACATTTTGTTTTATTTCTTGTTTTCAGTGTTGACCTCAAATCATTGTTAAATACTATGTCAAACAAAGTGGATTTTATGGCTGCACCCATTTCCAACCAAATCAATGCAACACGATGCAACATCCTAGACAGTGGTATCAGAGCCTTCCGACGCCAACGTTTTAACCCTGAGGCAAAACTAGACGTGTTCAGAGATGCTGATGGGATTGGTGAGGGAGCAGCTGATGAGGGTGGACCTACAAGAGAATTTTTAACTTTGCTGATGAGGGAAATCCACTCATGCGAAATATTTGATGGAGAGGACTGGAAAAAAACACTTGCCTGCAATTCCAAAGGTAACCTGTTGTCTAATGTTTTTGTGTGTGTGTGTGTGTGTGTGTTTACATTAAGCATTGTGGAAAAAGTGTTTGCCTCATTTATAATTTTCTGTAATTCTGCACATTTTCACATTTAATGTCATCAGGTCTTTAAACAAACATCTTTAATTATTAAAGTTAACACCTAGTGCCCATGTGAAAAAAAGTGATTAATTTGTCAATAATTTAATACCTGTTTACACCCATTAGCAGCACACATTTTCTAAGCATTGTTTATAGACATAATAATGCTTTTCCCATGTGTTACAGCACTGTACAATGGAATGTACAAACTAGTTGGACGGATGATAGCTGTGTGCCTGGTACATGGTGGTGTGGAGCCACATTTTTTTTCAGAAAGACTGTTCTGTCAGGTGTGCAACCTTCAGCCCCCAGTACCAGACCTTCAAGAGATTGTGGACTACGACTTCAGAGCAAAGATGACCAAGGTTAGTTTATGTATTACACATTTTCATTTATGCCAGCTGTTGCTTTGTTAGTAATGGTAATTTGGCGATAGTTGTAATATCTTAGAATGTTGAAATTGTTAACCTTAACCTTAAAAAGCTCTTACTTAAAGGCTTTGTGTGTGCATTAAATATTTTAAAGTATTTTGTTTATTGTATTTAACGGCTAATTTTGTGTTAAATTCATTGTCAATTTAGATCCAGTCGGCACAGAATGTAAATGACGCACAGTGTGCTATCATGGAGGCGTCTGACCAATTAAGTATGCTGGGGTCTCTATGGCACATCCAGACGTTAGAGGACAGAGACAACTTGGTGGAATCGGCTACCAAGTTTTTCACTGAGAACAAGTTGAGGGATTCCTTGGAACAGTGAGTATAAGAATGTACAGATATTTTCACCTGACAAATTAACAGTAATATTTTGTCATTGTTTCACATTGTGTACATGTTTTGTTTATCTAGATTTAAAGAGGGCCTGGAGTGTCTTGGGCTTTTGCCTTTGATGCAAAAGCATCCTGAGCTCTTTAAAGAGGTATAGCCGTGGCCTCCTCTCCAGCTCCAGCTCCAGCTCCAGCCGTGACCTCCTCTCCAGCTCCAGCTCCAGCTCTAGCCGTGGTCTCCTCTCCAGAAGTTCCAGTGGCATTTTCTTTACTCAGTCCAGACACAGATATTTATATCTCGGATGAAGATGAGTATGCATTTTAAATGCACTTTCAGTACACTTCCATAATGTAATTAAAGTGCTCTATTTTCACACACTAATTTTTTACTTAATATATTAAAAATTATTCTTTAGTATTTTATAAAGGGATAGTTCACCCAAAAAATGAAAATTCTGTCATTAATTACTCACCCTCATGTCATTCCAAATCCAAACCCATAAGACCTTTGTTCATCTTTGGGAACACAAATTAAGATATGTTTGATGAAATCCCATAGCTCATGTGTGCTTTTAACATGCTATCCCTGTATTAAAATGTATTTAGTTGCCACTTGAACAAATCTTTCATACACTTAAATATACTCATCATACTTAGAAAATAGACTTATGAATTATTTAAAATATAAGAATAA